GAACCATAGCGGCCTGGGGGGGACCGCAGGTACCGGCGGGAGGTTGGGATGGGCGGAGCGCTGCGGGGCCGGCATTCCAAGGAGGCGAGGGCGCTCCTGGGCCCTTAGGGAAAAGGGAGCGGGGGCAGCTCCTTCCCCCTCCCGACGTTAATGCCTCCGCTTCGCCCGGAGGTGGCGGCTGCGGCGCCGGGCAGTGACGTCATCGGCGACGTGGAGGGGGGCAGGGTGACGTGCGGGGCCGGGGCCCATCTCTTGTTTAGAAGAAATGCGTTAGGGTTTGGGCAGCGAGCGGCTCTCGTGCAGCCCCGGCTGCCTTACTGGGCGTTCAGTCATTTATGTTTACTCTTACATGAGGCAGAATACACCTGACTTCTTTGTAAGGCCTGGTCTTTTTGACTGTGGAGCCAGGTGCTGTTTTAATAGTGTCCTGGCTGAGGGCAAATATCAGTAATGCTTCCCATGGTGCTGGGATCCCAGTGGAGATAGAGAGGAAAACAGCACTGCAGGGAATAAGCAAACTTACTCGTTAGCTGGAGATTTAGCTTTTCCACCACCGCCCCCCTTTTTTTAAATGTAGTGACCCTCCTAACTCCAAAGAGTGGCAGAAAAAAAAGTAAATATCTCTTATAACAATGGGCTGAAAAAAATGCCCGTTAACTTAAGGTTTGCCCCAGCAACAAATTCAGAGCTATTGAAGCCAGTTCTCTGTGATTATTGTGCTGTAGCGTCTGTCCTGCTCCAGCATTAGATCAACTTCTGATGCAGCCATGACTGAGACGAGAGAGAGGGGCTGAGGTGCTGCTGCTTGGCATGGTTTTCCTGTCAGGGGTGTCCTGCTAGAAGTGCTTTTCCTCAAGCTTCCAGCCTTCTCTGTCACTTGACATGTTGCGTGATGGATCCAGTCTCAGGGAGCTGGGACATCTGCAGGCTGGGTGTTCAGGGCTGCTGGGCAGCAATCAAGGAACAGATTTCCCTTATTTTGCTTGGCATGGGGGTAAGATAATGACATCCCTTGCACCATAGTGGTAGAACATACTCTTTCAGGCCTATCTCTAGAAAACTCATTGAAGTGCTGATACCACCTGTCTCCTGGTGGTGAAGGCCCCAGAGGGAGTGAAGCAAAACCAGTGAGCACCTGCAATCTGCACTGTCATCATCTTCATTATTCCCTCAAGCTGAAAGAGCCCATTAGGCCGTTTCAACCCATTCTGTTGTCTTAAGGGTATTTGCAAGGTGACAGTGTGTCTGTGCTCTCTGCCATGGCATGTATTCTTCCGGACAGTGGAACCAGAGACTATACCCCTTTTTTGCAGTGCTGAAAACAGGTTTTCATATAAAAGATATTAACCTAGTATACTTGGAAGGCTCCTCACATTGGCTGCTTTATTCTTGTGTTTGTGTAATCTTTTTTTTTTTTCCATTACAGGAATTTGCATGAAGCAGTTAATTTCCACCATGCTCCCACAGTGTTCACAAGAGCTCTTAAAGATTGCAAATCCCTGGCGTCTGATACTAAGTGAGTGTTTGAGAAAGCACAGAGGAACTTTCAGCACCAAGTCCCTGCCTGCGTGCCGCAGGAGAGTAGTAGTCACAGGTATTGGCCTCGTGTCCCCTCTGGGTGTGGGGACTCGGTTTGTGTGGAACCGCCTTCTCCAAGGAGAGAGCGGGATCGTGTTGCTCGACGGGGACGAATACGCAGGCATTCCGTGTCAAGTGGCCGCCTCCGTGCCCAGGGGGAAAGAGGAGGGCCAGTTCGACGAGGAAAGCTTCGTCTCGCGATCGGAGCTCAAGTCCATGAGCCCTGCCACCGTGATGGCCGTGGGCGCAGCCGAGCTCGCCGTCAGCGACGCCGCCTGGGCTCCGCGCTCCGAGCAGGAGCGCCTGGCTGCCGGCGTGGCCATCGGAATGGGAATGGTTCCGCTGGAAGAGATTTCCCATACTGCCGCCTTGTTTAAAACAAAGGGTTATAACAAGGTCAGCCCCTTCTTTGTGCCCAAGATTTTGGTTAATATGGCGGCGGGGCACGTCAGCATTAAGTACCAGCTGAAGGGGCCCAACCACGCCGTGTCTACTGCCTGCACCACGGGCGCACACGCGGTGGGAGACTCCTTCAGATTTATTGCCTCCGGTGACGCTGACGTGATGCTGGCGGGAGGGACCGAGGCTTCCATTAGCCCCTTGTCCCTTGCTGGCTTTGCAAGAGCTCGGGCCCTCAGCACGAGCTTCAACTCAAGCCCTAAAATGGCCAGTCGGCCGTTCGACTCCCAGAGGGAAGGGTTTGTGATGGGAGAGGGTGCAGCGGTGCTGGTGCTGGAGGAGCATGAACACGCTGTGCAAAGAGGTGCCAGGATCTACGCAGAAGTTTTAGGTTATGGACTCTCTGGTGATGCTTGCCACATTACAGCACCTAATCCAGAGGGAGATGGGGCTTTCAGGTAAGAACCCACGTGCCAAACCCACTGTTTGCTTCATATGTTAATCGTAATTTGCTTCTGTTACTGTATGTTCTGCCTAGAGAAATACTGTTCAGTTTTGCATGTATCAGTTAAAAAAAACATACATACATTTCCAGAAATCTGGAAACTTGAAATTCTGGTGAGCTCTTGTCACATTTTTCTTCTTTCAGTAATAGGACGAAGGCCAGTTCTTGCTAGAAACGATGTTATTGAACAGAGTTATGAAAACTTTCTCTATGTGAAAATATTTTACTTTTGGAGCCTATAGCAGTTTACACAGATGATTCAAAGAAAACCAGTTCTTTAAGATGGTCTTAGTGTGAAAAAACTTTCCAACTTCTGTTTCTCCATTGAAGCAGCCTAAAGGACTCACAAATAATTGTCTCTATTCTCTTTTCCAAGAGATTTTGGGAAAGCCTTCATAGGGAAAATGCTTGGGAGTATGTGCCTATGCTGCATTCATGTTTAAATGTGTTGCTCACTTGGGGTTCTGATGCACTTAACAGAGCATTGGTGGAGAGATGCAGCAGAAATACATTTTAATACACTTTGGCAAAATGGTAAAACTTCATCTGTGTTAACCTTTCCAAAGTAGTTCATAACCAGATGACAGCGCTCTTTATTCAACTTATTAAGTTTTCATTTGTATTACATATGTAAGTACTGTTTGTGAGCTGTCTCTATGCCATTGGTGACAAACACAAGAAACTTTACTAATTTGCATTATTCTAAATGTATTTGTGTGTTTAATAAGAAAATTCAACATATCGTGGTGCAAATAGATCACAACAGTTTTTTTTTTACATGATATTGCAAAGCTTTGTCTGCATCCCCTTTGGATTAACAATTTTAAGAAGTATAATATACGAGATTTCTCACTATGCTACTTGATTCAGAGTTAATTTTTCTGTGGTCTTAAGTGCAAGCTGGATAATCAGGAGTTTCTTATCCCAGATTTTCCAACTCATTTACCCCAAAATGATGGCAGTACCTCGTAGCAGAATTTTGTGATTGCAGTAGTGTGTAAATTAAAATCACAATGGGAAGTAGTTGAAAATTAATCTTGATATCTGCAAAGTGCTGGTCCTTTCCACCCTGAAATGAGATAATACATTTTAATTCAGCTTTTTTTCACAAACAGTTTGTTATTGCAGCAGTATCCTGTAATAATTTCATTTGTCATGTCAGAAAATTTCACAGGGAAATATATTTTTGTCATCTTCTAATAACTGTTTCAAATTGGAAACATGTATGGGATGTAATGGGAAATTAAGCATCTGTCTTTTTTCTTTCCTTTCTTTTTTTTTTTTTTTTTAGATGTATGTCTGCAGCAATAAAAGATTCTGGAATCAAACCTGAAGATATAACCTATGTCAATGCACATGCAACTTCTACACCTCTAGGAGATGCTGCTGAAAATCAGGCAATCAAGAGACTTTTTAAAGACCATGCACGTAATGTTGCAGTTTCCTCCACGAAAGGAGCAACGGGGCATCTCTTGGGGGCTGCAGGAGCTATTGAAGCTGCTTTCACGGCGCTGTCCTGTTACCATGGAATTCTGCCACCTACTCTGAACTTGCATAAAACTGAGGCAGAATTTGATCTCAATTATGTTCCACTAACAGCTCAGGAGTGGAAAACTGAAAAACGGCGCATTGCACTCACAAATTCATTTGGCTTTGGTGGCACTAATGCAACTTTGTGCTTTGCAAGTGTTTAACTTGCACCATGTATGAGAACAGTGAATTTTTATGGGACTCTGAAAAATGGCGCCGATAATGACTGTGTACTGCTGCATTTTGTCTATATTGTGCAATGTTTCATTTTTCTCAGCCTTGAGACTTGCTAAATTCACATATAGAACTTTACTCAGCCTGACATTCACATCAGTGATTCTATTAAAGACAGAGAATTTACTTTATTCATTTTACTCTAAATAAATAAAAGGTCTCTTCTTTGTGCGGTAAAGAAGTTTTTGGTTTTGACTGGAAGAGGAGAATTGCAGTAGCTATTCTGAATATATTTTTTTTTGTGAGAAGTGGTTGAAAGTAGTGATAAATACTGTATTTGAATTACCGCATTTCTGATTATTTCTTGACTCCATCAATTTGGGGGCCAAATAACTTAAGTGAACTGCAGTGTGCTTATACAAATAAATTTTCAAATGTGGATTTTCTTTAAAGCTTTTTGCCTTTCCATTTTTCTAAATTTGCTTTCTGCGATGTTCTTTTCAGCAGTCAGGATGGAGTATCATCTATCAATACATATGGGTATCACTTTAATGAAAAAGTGGATGTTCATGCTTTTAGTAGGCTCGCATCTCATAGCTTATAATTTTTTTTTGTTTGTTTTTTATATTGTCAGGAGTTGAAATGTTGGTATGATCAGGGAATCACTTTCAGGGAACTGAATCATGAATTTGGAAAAAAAATGCAGTGAATTTGTTTTGGATATGAAGTTTCTTCAGATACTTAGAATTTGGGGAGACTAGATATTGCTGCGCTATTAGGGACCTAGCGTACAGTCTTATTAAACTCAACCAATCCTGTCAATTATAGTTACAAAATTAATTAGAAATCCGTAATTAATATTGTGGCAAAGAGAAATCCTTCCCTTTCCCTCTGCTAAGTGTAGACCGTGGTCTCAGGAGTGCTGGATGCAGACTCTTGTGTACCAACCATGAAAACCCGGATTAGAGAGTCACACAGGAAAACAAAACAGAAGGTGAAATGACCAAAAGGAGCCTTCACTTCATTTCACCGCAATTAAAAAAATCATCTGCTGCAGGTAACCATTAAACCAACAAAGTTTCTGATGATTGAAAAGGGCTTGATTATGGATAATTTTAAAAGGTCTAGGTGCAGTGGTAAATCATATGTCCTGTGGGGAATTAATATTTTTAAAAAATGAACAACCCTAAAATTTAACTGCTGTTTACTTGAATATTGAATGCAAGTTTCATTTGTGCGTGTTTGTTTGGAGCCATCCCTTTTTATCACATACCCCACTGAGCTGATGAGTGATCACTCACTGCTAATTACTGTTTATTATAATAGCTGTAATCCTAACAGGAAAAGAAGTCTCACTGTAGTTAAACTATGAAGCAGGCAGACTGATCAACCTTCTAGATCAAAATGCTTTTCCATAAAGGGTCCCCTTTGTGTTAATAACTGAGAGTTAAAATGGTCTAGGGTTTGCGTTGGAAAAGGCTTAATCCTGAGAGTTTGGAATTACTTACATTCTGACAAGAAAAACTTGGAAATGCCAGTAGAAAGCTTACTTGGAAGCGTAGTTCTGGAGTCATGCGATATACTTGAGAAAGACAAATACTCCTGCACTCAGACGAAGATCTTGATCTCAGCTTTATTTAATTGTCCTTCTCTTAGCTGACTTCACCAAAACAATCAGACATCTACCTGAAAACTGAGGTTAGAGTAACCATGTACTTGGAAGATGTTCACATTTCTGTTGGTTTCCTTAAATTCACTTTCTAGGATATAGCTTTATAGTGTTGGCTTTATGTACCGCGGGCTGGATATGCAAATAGAAGACATAATATGGATATGGGGTGAAAATAAATTATTTAGACTACTGTTTTGATTTGAATCAAATATTTTTATTAAACCCATCTTACCTTAAAGAAATAAATTTCAAACAACAAATCAAATTATGGCTATTTAAATGATCTATTTAAAGTGACCTAATCAGAAACTGTGTTATACAAACATGCAAACAGCATGTGTACTGAAATCTTACAAAAGTCATTTCTCTGTGACTTAGGCCAAGTTACTGAGGTTCGGATCATTAAATGTGTATTTATAAATATTCTACTGTGTTTTCAGGATATAAATCACATTTCACTTGAAACAAAAGGAAGATTGATCCTGAAGCAGCTTTGTGGGTTTTTGGCAAATCTTTCAGGGTTTCTGTTCATCATCTGGAAACAACCAAATCTCCCCACTTCCTATAATTTTGGGGGAGTAAATATGCTCAGGATTTAGATCCTGTTGGCCTAACTTCAGTAGCTCACTTCTGCAAAACAGAAGAAGGAAGTTGGAACTGGAATTTGCTTTTCCCATAGCTAAGGATATAACGGTAACATTGCGCTTGGTCCTTTGCCGCGTATGATACGCACAGACTCTGGTATAATGAACCAGAGACATTTTAGCAAGCATCAGATACAACTTATATATTGTACTAAACCGGATAAAATTCCTTATTTACAAAAGCATGCGAAGTGCAGTTACTAAATAAGACAATAGTATAAAGAATTACCTCAAAATTATCTAATTGCTTCTTAATCACGCACCAGCCGTGCGGTTGCAGTTTTCTTCTTTTTCTTGCTTTGTTCTTTATCTATTGATAAGATGTTCTATACTGCTGTCCTTGAGGTTAATTAAAAAGACACCTGCACTGCCATCCTTGAGGTTGATTATCTGCTCACAAGGCATCCTGTACTGCTGTTCTTCATGCGGGCCTCCACAGTCCTTCTGGATATTTCTATCAAGATCAAAGGCTCTTCAGGTTAGTCAGCATAGACTTGCTCATTCGAGATATCTTTTTGACTAGAATCGATTCCGGATCTATCATATTTTAGGATTAAACCTTTAGTCACCATTTCTTTGACAAGAAGTCAGACTCATATTTCTAAAACTAGAATCAATGATAGGAAAAACTATGATGAAGGCAGTTTTATAACCTAAGCGAAATGTATGGTAGTTTCTCCTTTGGCAGTAGACATCACTCCAAATACTGTCGCAGTGTGATTAATTTTATCTTGATAAAAAAAAAATCTAACTACAGTCATTGCACAGTAAATAAGTATGCCAATAGCAGTTGTTTATAGTCAGTTCCTGTGTGTGGGAGATGCAATAATTTTAGTATGACAGCTAATATGCAGGAACACCAAACTGGCAGCATAAAAGGCTATTGCAGCACAAGGTCTTTGGCAAAATGTGTTAACAGGAGTGAAGTCAGATAAAATAGAAATAAGAAGGATATACGTTTACCAAGACCGAAAGAAAGGCGAAATAGCAATTCTAATTGAAAAGGTGAACATTTTTTAATGTGGGCCTTACAGTTTTCCTAGAAGTGTTACAAAGCTGATTGGATGTTCAATAGCTATACTCCTAGGTATCCTCAGGAAATACCCTGATTATAAGCAGTGGGAAGGAAGAGACAGAGCTAGGAAGAGACAGAGCATCAGGCACAGGCATAAAGGTAGAGTGTGAAAGTGAAAACTGGGAAAACTGCAGTAGGGAAGATCCACTAGAAACAAAACGAGGTGAACAAGGGGTAATCAAAACACTTGTTCTGGGCTCCTTGCCTAAGTACTAAGTGCCTTGAAAGGTGGGAAGCAGATATTCGTCTGAAAAAGGTGATACCTGGGTGCTGCAAGCTTGCCAGTTACAGGAGCGTTTTCATGCTTTTTAGTGAGACTCTACAACTTCTCTGGGCAGCCTGTTCCAGTGCTCTGTCACCCTCACTGTTAAGAAATTTTTCCTTAAGTTCCTGTGGAACTTTTGATGCTTTAGTTTCTGGCCATTACCTCTAGTTCTGTCAGTGGCCACCAGTGAAAAGAGGCCAGCACCATCCTCCTCACTGCCTCCCTTGAGGTACTTATGTACACTGATTAGATCCCGTCTCAGCCTTTTCTTCTCCAGGCTGAACAGCTCCCTCAGTCTCTCCTCATAGGGCAGATGTTCCAGGCCCCTGATCATCCTTGTGGCCCTGCGCTGGACTCTCTCCAGCAGCTCCACATCCCTCTTGTACTGTGAGGCCCAGAACTGGACACAATGCTCCAGATGTGGCCTCACCAGGGCTGAGCAGAGGGGCAGGATCACCTCCCTCGACCTGCTGGAGACGCTCCTCCTAATGCACCCCAGGATCCCATTGGCCTTCTTGGCCACGAGGGCACGCTGCTGCCTCATGGTCAACTTGTCGTCCACCATGACGCCCAGGTCCCTCTCTGCAGAGCTGCCCTCCAGAAGGTCAGTCCTCAGCCTGTACTGGTGTCTGGGGTTATTCCTCCCCAGGTGCAGGACCTTGAACTCATCTTTGTTGAATTTCGTAAGATTTCTCACTGTCCAGTTATTCAGTCTGTCCAGGTTATAATGAAGAATTAGTGTCATACTGCTTTCTCCTTACACTACCAATTTAACTTTACTCTCTCTATTATGGAGAGATAAGGCCTAGGAATCAGGAAGTGATTGAAGGCTCTGTCAGAAAGGGGAAGAAATTTCTTTAAGTTTTGTTTTCTGGCTTGCATGCAGCCCATTAGACCTTATTGTCTGTCCCACTGGCTTTCTGACTAGAAATGCATCCACCTGTAAATTGAAGCTCATTTATAAGACTAAATTTAATGACTCTGATTAAACTGATTCTGATCAACAGCCCATAAACCAACCTTTTTTTAAAAAAAAAATGTGTTTTGAGCATGTCTTTGATCTAACTGCGGGATTTTTGCAGTGCACATTCTTTATATCAAAACATGTAAGCTTGTTTGGGAAATATGTCCCACTCTTTGGGAAAGGAGGAGAATGAGAGACTTTCTCATGGTTGCAGGTGAGTTTTTGTTAGCATTTTCTTATACAGTAATATAGACAAATTACTCCTAAAACATGCTCGTCCTAGCAGAGCACATGGAAATTGAGTTTATAGAAATAGCACCCATCTAATTTCTCTTGGTAACAGAGTGAAGGATTCAGATCAATTTTGGAAGAGCTTTGTTTTTTTTTTTTTTAAAAAAATGAC